TTCCACTGGCTTCACAGTTTATCTTTCTCTTCACACCCGACATTTTTGATGAATTGATGCACAGGTAAAGCGAATTATGGAACAAAAAATGTCGGTAAGAGGACATAGTGAAGAGATGCTTTGTGTTTGTGGGGGAGGGCAGGCGAGTGATGCTGGGTGAGCGCGGCGGCGCCGCGGCGTGGCAGACTCGTGAACTCTATTCGCGCCCGGGAAATTTGAAGTTTGCTAGCATCTTTCAAACATTTTTTTGGACTTTAGTATTTAAAAAAAAAGTTGGTATGTACGGAATGTGCGTAAGTAGAATGTTCTTAAGTCGGGGACTATCTGCAGGCCCAGCAAGAAAATCTAGTTTTCTCAAAGCAACCAGGATAGTGACTCTTATTCCTGATTGTATAAGCTGGGAAAACCTAAGACCTGTGGCATACTCCAGTAGTACGTGTTTCAACATTTGGTATAGGTCGAAGTCTTTTACACCTTAGCTTCTCTTCTCCCTCTTCCCCTCCTGGGGTCACAGCTCCTTCAGAACTCCCACTGCAATTTCCTCCAATCAAGGGGTCAGCAAGTTGGAGTTTGAACTCCATGCTATTACTGGCTTTTTATTAGCCTTGATACAATCTCTTCAGTATTCAAGCCATGAGTTTGAACATACCATATCAAACATATGTAGCATTGTTTGGGCAGTGTATTTGGCAGTGCATGACTTAGTTCTATAATATGACAGAACTTGGTCTGCTATGTCCACACCGCTCATGCTTTCATTATATGCGTCAATCATCCTTGGGTGCTGTATGTTCAGAAACTTTTTTGTCTTCTTACACCATCTCTGGCAATCATCAGTATCCAAGAATTCTCTGCTTCAAACGAGTCTCTTCAGTTCTTTTTCGGTTTTGTGCTTACAAGGTTTTGGCATCAGATTTTTAAAAAAGTGTGCCACTGGCACCCATCCTAAAATCGGTTATAATTTCGAGAAGGCAAGGTGTGGTGAAGAACCTGTTGCAGTAGCATGATGTTTCATGGGATAAAGAATTCATGAATCTTGGGACTCCATCCTCACCAATGGTCAGAGTGTTGAAACCTTCAACCCATAAGTTTGTTCTAGTCATGGAACTCATGAGCTGTTCTTTACCCTGATACAACTCAAAATCAAGAATAAAGCTATCTGGTGAAGCAAGCACAATGACTTTCAGGCCATGTGGATTTGGTTTCCGTGTACAAAACTGTTTCAATAGTTCGACCTGTAAAGGGATGATCATCTCATCCATAGTAACAGAGGGTGTACTCTCCAACTCCATGCATCTTTGCCTGATGCTGGCTAATAAAGGCTCAAGTTTCCAAAGTTTACTTTCTGTCACTGTCTTCATTGTTTCGGTTGGTATATTCATGTCACTCATCCTCTGAAAGGCCTTCTGCATCAGAATCCTCTAATACTAGCATGATATCAGAATCTGAAAAAAAAAATTGATGAGTCAGGTTTGTGCAAAATATTTTCTGATCATCTACAAAATGGCATGATAATGATAAGTTTGAGAAAATTAAGTAAATTAATAGGATATAATGACTAAATACCTTTAATATATATTCTGAACAAACAAACATATTATGTATATTGATATTACAATAAAGAATACACAATGCATGAAGTTGGGGCAATGTAAACTACATAGAGCCTCAGTCCTGTGTGGTACTTCCAGTGTGTCATAAATGATCCACATCTCATACAAGGTCACCGTTAAAACACATATACTTTTCTTAAGAGCAATATTTTTTAGTAGGCCTATATGTCACAGGTAAAAACTGCTGACAAAATTCTTTAGCAAACGACATACCACCTGGTGTCCTAAATATTTTTACAGGATTATTCATATATAAATACAACTTGGCATAATTATTACATTGTGAAACTCCCGATGTGCTCATATAGAACCCAGACTACTTTATCATTCTTTTCTCCCACTGCAATAATCTATTACAGAAAGTCCCCAACTTACGAACATAATGGGGACCGAGAGGCTGTTCAACTCCATTTGTTGCATATCCAAAGTCAGGTCTCCATTGCCTTTGTTTTCCATTGTTTTAAAGTTTTGTTTACATTAAGAATACCTGTACACAGGTAAAGCGAATTATGGCACAAAAATTGGCGGTACACGAGGACACAGTGAACAGATGCTTTCGTGTTTATGGCGGGAGGTCAGGCAACTGAGGCAAGTGATGGCACAGCTGAGTGAGCGGGGCAGACTTGTGAACTATATTCGCGTCCGAGAAATTTGAAGTTTGCTAGCATCTTTCAATTTTTTTGACAAGTATTTTTAAAAATTTGTTTGTATGTATGGAATGTTCGTAAGTAGAATGTTCATAAGTAAGGAACTCACTGTATATCAATAACTAATGGTTTATAACATATTTTGACATTACTCACTAATGCTATATTTTCTAAGTACAAGTACCATTGCTCTGGAAAACATGAATTCTATTTAACTTACCCATGGTGATGAAAATCTAG